TTTATTTAGCAGGGATGGAATAAAAATCTTGCCTGGAGGCTCTAACTGGTAGAGTTCATTCTGAAATAAAAAATTCAGGAGCTCACTCTGGGAGGCCAAGGCGGGTGGATCACGAGGTCAGGAGTTTGAGACCAGCCTGGCCAACATGGCAAAACCCCATCTCTACTAAAAATGCAAAAATTAGCTGGGCATTGTGACAGGTACCTGTAATCCCAACTGCTGGGGAGGCTGAGGCAGGAGAATTGCTTGAACCTGGAAGGTGAATGTTGCAGTGAGCCAAGATTGTGCCTTGCACTCCAGCCTGGGCAACAAGAGCAAGATTCCATCTCAGAAAAAGTCCAGGCACGGGCTGTTATCTGGGGCTCCTGAGACTAGTGCCTGCTTGAGTTCTGTGGGCAGGTAGGCCCCTCCCTTGCCGCAGCCCCCTTTGCAGAAGTCCAGGGTACAGCTTGCTGTAGGTTATTTTAGTCAGACTTTCCCTTTGCTTTCACCTTCCAAATATGATGAAGTATCTTTTCCATTGAAGATGCCCCTCCCACTCTCTACATTGCTGTGAGTTTTAAATTCCGAAGTTTCCTTGAAATTTAACGAGCCATCTGGAGTAAAGGAAAAATAAATGCATGTTTGTCCCTTGCTCTGTCTGACATCTGCCCTGGTGTTTTCTTCCTTGCCTAGCATTGTTAATGGAGCTCTCACGCGCCTGCGCCTTGACAGTCACCGAGCTCTGATCTAGAAATGTGATGTGGTGGCCCTTATAGTCAAGTCAATCGCTTCCTTTTTTTTTAAGTGTGAATCATTGTGGCATGGATTAGCGACAGGCACTAGCACAATCAGATACAACAATAATGCATTTAATTGGAATCTGATACAGAATGGTCATTTTTTTGTTGAGTGAATTCTGAGTTGTGAATAGGAACGTTGTATTCTTGCCCCACTTTGGTATGGATTTCCAGTCCTCCATCATTGCCTTCTCCCACCCCAGAGGGCAGCTTGCTCTGACTTGCTTGTCTTCTTTTCTCTTGCTGGAGACACTATGTATCTACTAGAGTTTGCATTCCTTGACCACAGAAGCCTCTCTGAATTGTTTACCCCTAAAATGGCCCACAAGAACAGCAATGATACCTTTAACACCAGTATATGCCTCATTCATTTATTTTTATGATGATGAGTATATTTCTATTATAGTTTATTTATTTTTATTATGATGCATATGTTTTTGCAACAGACATTATGACCCATGATATGATACTTAAGCATTCATTTAAAAAATTTTGTTGAACACCTATTAAGGGCCAGGCACTGCACTAGATACTTAAGCAGAAAAGGTCTCTTCCCTCCTATTGCATCTGTCTGCTGGGAAGTAATTCTACAATAAATGCACACGCAAATGGAACATTTTAACTGTAATATGTAATTACTTCGAATAAAAGATATGCGGAACAGCCAGAGGTCAAATAGGGAGAACTGACGCAGCTGGGGAGGTTGGTAACGCTTGAACTAAGGTTGACGAGTGAGTGGCAGTTGACCAGGTGAAGAGCAGGGAGGATCCATGTTAAGGCTGAGCTTGCACAAAGGCCCTGTGGTAGAAGGGAACAGGACAAGCCTGAAGAAATGGAAGCAGTGCAGTATGGCCTAAGCTTAAACCTGGGGAGAAGCAGGGAGCCAGGGAAGCGGTGGCTGCCGACATGTGGTCAGATGTTGGATGCTGGGGCTAGAGCATGCGGGTATCTGGAGAGTGAGGTGTCTGGTTCTGAAGTTCTCTAGCAGATCCAGCTGTCTCCTGAAGATGCTGCGGCTGAGTTGAGCACGGACCAAGAGGATGTACGGTGGCAGGTTAGGCATACGAGGTAAGGTGTGTGAGAAGAGAAATCAGACTGAGTAATGTTGCAACAGGGCGAGTCCTTGTCTGCCCAGGCCCCGCTCTCTGACTCCATCCTGCTCTTCCATTTGAGATTCCAGAAACTCCCAACTGATTCCTTATCTAGACTGTGCTGCACTCTGCTCAGAACTTCCTCCAATTAGGTTAGCTGTGCCTGAATCTTCACTTACACATCTCCAGGGGAGGGAGAGGAGAAAGTATTGGGTGGGATGTTACCTATTTAAAATCAAGGTGAATTCACATTAACTCCTTCTTCTGAAATGATATCAATATCCCTTGAGATGATTAGAGATACCCTGGGGTATCCTGGACCTGAGATTGACAGTTACTGTACTGCATGTATGTGTGTGTGTGCGTGTGCATGTGTGTGTGTGTGTCAGGGGTGAGGATGCAAGATGATCTGTGCCTGTGAAGTCACATCATAGAGGTGTAAATTATAGGTCATGGCTAAAAGGTGTTCTGGTGGTTCTCTATTTTCCACCATGTCACCTTCCAGTTTGAGGACTGAGGTCCCCAGGTGACTTGTGCAGGGTCTCATGTAAGGGACAGAAAACTAACCAGAATCCAGGTCACCAGCTCCCCAGAAGCACACCCTGTCCAGCATACCCCAGACTCTGGAAAGACCTTTGGGATTGTATTGTAACTGGGCCTTTATCCTCACTGTTCTAGGAGGAAAAAGCACAGAGTTTGGTTGAGGCCCAGGGAAAATTTAATGTGGAGACTGGGGACAGCCACTTTTCCTCTGGTGACTTGGGTCACCTTATGGACACAGCCTGATGTCTGGCCCAAGGGCAAATCTGAAACTCAGAACCTTCAGACAGAGTCCTCCTGTCCCTTCTCTTCTCCTGGGACAGAAGCCTTGGTCACCTAGAAGGGCGACACAGACCTCCAAATGTGGAGAGAATCCTCTAAGGACAGTGGGGAGGGGAGAGGAGAGGAGCGAATGCCACCTCAGCACAGAGAAGTCCAATGGCAGCTTTCAGAAGCCAGACTTGCCCATCTCTGCATCAGCCACCATTCATCTGTGGTTGCTCAGGCTGACAGAGACAGGAAGCTCAACACAGAATTCTCCAGTTGATTTTGAAAGAGCTACAGTAGTTCATTTTGGAAGACAAAGAAAAAGAAGGCGGGAGCTAGTTCATTGAGTTAGGGCTGGATGGAGCATGGAAGGAATCTAGCTCCAATTGCCAAAGTCATGTTCAAGACCCTCCACAGCCCCTTTCCAATTGGGGGTGCAGCTGGGGGCTTCCAGATCACGTCTATGCAGGCCTGACTTACTCCTGGGTCCTTTTGATGGTCCGAATCCACCCAGCTCCATCCTTCATAGCCTTTGAGATTACTGACAAATGTAATTCATTTGAATGAATGAATGCCAGTCCTTAGACACTAGGCCTCCACATCTCCATCTCCCATTCCTCACACTAGGTTTTCTTTTGTAGATTAAGCAGCTTCAGATTTCATATTTAGACCATGGTTTGGCCTCCCCTTTCAGCCTGGGTCATTCTCTTTCAAACAGGAGAGCCGTTATCCTCACGGGTCTGCAGTATGATGGCCGGTAGGGACTGCAGTTTGCGAAGGGTGGTATGGCCCGCAGAGAAGCCCAGGAGAAATGAATTCCTTTGTTTCAGGCTAATAGATGTGTATTTGTGCAGCCCAAGATCACGGGGTTGGGAAAATGCAAAGCTACCTGATCTTACTCTGCTAAGGCTTGTGGGAATATTACATAAGCCAGAATCTTGTAGCCCATTGAACATAAAGCTTCAGTGACACCCTTTTCAGTCTCAGTAGAACACTGTACACTTTTGAGGATGAGAATCATTATTTCAGAAGCAAGTGAATGTTTTTTGGCTCCCAATTTTGAATAAGGAAGAGTTGACATGATCTGGAAATCCTACAGAAGAGCCTAGCACTTAGAACAAATGATCGGTAAATATTTTAGGAACACTCACACTCTCTTATATAGGACAGCTGAATGTGGTAGATTTGTACGACTTAAAAGATGCTATTGCATAATAACAAGTCAACAAGGCAACGTACAAATCCCACGATGTGACTAGAACCTACTGTCCTGCCTTTCAACATTAGAGCGTGCTTTGTAGGACTCTGCAGCGACTATGGATCTGTCCAGGGTACCATGAGCTAGAGACAAAACAAAAAAGAATCTCTTTCCCTGTAAGAACTTACCTTCCAAATGTGGCTTTCCCATCAAGGTTCAAAAGCACTGCTCAGAGTGGAGAGGGGCAAGCAGGTATTGTATGCCCGGCATACCAAGGGCTTGCCTTTGCATTTTCCCAAAGAATGAGATGACCCATGGTTCATGAACTGATGTCTCTAAGTTGCACTTTCTACTCTGATGTAGACATTTTGAACTAGGCACAGTGATTGTGCCTAAGTCTTGCTAATGAGAAGAAACCCCCTTGAATCCTAAGCATTTTTTAAAGACTTCGAAGGAGGAGCATAGGGAGGTTCCTTGCTGTTCCATGAAAAAGTGGGCTCCCAGGGTCACGCCTGAGCAGACTTCTGATGCTTCAGTGGCAGTACCGTCATATTTTAAAGGATTCCATTCTGTTGAATACCTTTCCATTTTAATACATTAAAAACTCCTAATTTCAGTTGATTGGACAATAATTCAAAAATTGTATCCTGTAATGATTCATTATTTTATCCCTCTGATTTAGATTTAGGCATTTCAAAGAGCTCATCTTTAGGGACTTGATGCCTTTTCTATTCAGCATTTATTACAAAAATCTCAATATCAAACTGAGTAGATACCATCAAATTTCTGTAATTCCCTCCCTCAATGTTTTCTCAACTTGTTGGAGTGCAACATTCTGAATTGAAAATCCCTTCTAGTTAGCTTGCTGTGAATTCAGAGATCAATGAGGAGAAATGCGATTTCATAAAAGAACCTGCCCCTGCTGTGCTCCAAGCCTTCTATTGGCCTCTGGTGTGGACCAGGCTCGAGTTCGAATCCAGGACTGGCCTCCTGCATGCTCCCTGCGGCAGCCCTGTTCACTCCTCTTCATCTCTTTCTTTCCTCCTCTGAGCACCACTAAATGCTGATGTCATAGTCCCCGTGGGGGGCCTCAGAATCCTGCCACCCAACAATGGCCTTTGAGAACCTGTGCACAGAGCATAGATGAGAGCTAGCTGGAGAGGAAGAGAGGATGGGAGGGGAGGAGGCAGGCTGAGGGAAGGAGCAAGAGGGAAGAGAGAATGAAGGGCAAGACCAGCGCTAGCCATGCCTGTCCTAACAGCAGTCACCTAGCAGTGGCCCAGCCTGCTGAGAACTAGAAAATCAGAAGAAAAAGGAGAATCTACCAGGAGACCCAGGTTCTCATGAGCAGGGACCATCATCTGAAGTTAATGGAAGCTGAGCGGGGTCCTGACCATGTGCCTTCTGATGGGCGATGAGACTTTCCTCTGAAAGCTAAGGTATAGGGCAGGCAGGGAGGGTGGAGAATGGCAATGCTTCCAGAGCTTCCTGGTGACACGGGTCAACACTTCCCCGACTTGGGCTTCTCAGGCACTGACTGGCTCACTGGTGGGGGGCGGGGGGCAGTGACTGAAAATTCGGGAGACTGGAGCCGTGCAACAAGATGGGGAATTTTGACTCTATTCTTTGTTTGCTGGTTTGCTGTGGGCTTTAGACAGGTCTCTCCAGCTTTTCAGTGTAACTGGATGCTTTCTCAAGAATTCTTATAAGAATGATAAACTATTGTTCATATTTATAAAATTCTAAAGTAGCTGGGTGTGATGGCTCAATCCCAGCACTTTGGGAGGCCAAGGCGGGTGGATCACTCGAGGTCAGAAGTTCAAGACCATCCAGCCTGATCAACATGGCGAAACCCCAAAACCCCGTCTCTACTAAAAATACAAAAATTGGCTGGGCGTGGTGACACTCACCTGTGATCCCAGCTACTTGGGAGGCTAAGGCAGGAGAACCGCTTGAACCTGGGAGGCGGAGGTTGCAGTGAGCTGAGATTACGCCACTGTACTCCAACCTGGGCAACAAGAGCAAAATTCCATCTTAAAAAAAAAAAAGTTCTAATGTAGACGGTAATTTTTTTCCCCAATATTTTATCTTATTAACATGGGGAATGTGAAGGAATTGTCATTTGGAAGCATGGGCCAGCCTGCGATGCTGAGAGGATTTTCAGGGACAGGGAACTCTCCAAGTTGGAGCCTGACAGGAATCCTCAGAGCCTAATTTCTCTTAGAGGGACAGGAAGCAGGAGGGAGAACTTTCATTCTCAAACCAGGACTCAGAGCAAGCCCACAGCACCGGTGGAAGTCGGTGAAGTCTGTCTCTGGATCCCCTCACCCTTTCCCTCTCCATGAGAAAGAGGGGTCCCTAGAGTTTTATGTAGCACTGGGAGCCATTACTCAGGCAAAAACAACCAGCAAAAACACACTCATAGGAGTGTGTTTAAAATCCATTGGGATTTTAAGGTAGTAGATTGTTTGTTCTGTTTTGTTTCTGAGTTGGGAAAAGGTGGTTGTCAGAGACTTTTTGAAACAGCCAGCCAGAATGGTCTGACGCTCCAGGGCTCCTGGCAGGGAAACACATGGGCACAATCCCGGAATCAGTTTTTTCTCCCTGGATTTCTTGCCCTTCTTTTATGGATGGATGTGGAAACCAATGAAGATCCAGCTTTCCTAAATATAAGAAGACATCTAAGAGATAAAGCCACCAGGGCTCTCATCTCACAGGGCAGGATCAGGACGTAAAGCCCGCAGGGAGGCTGCCTTGGCCCCACCTTGAGCCTGTGTGGTGACTGGCAACGTTATTGCTGGAGTGATCAATTCTCATCGCTCAAAACGATGGAAACACACTGTCCCTTCATCAGTTCTCCATGGCAATCAATTCATGGTCATAGCTTCACCCGATCACTGACCATCTGGCCCATCATAGAAGCCCTTTCTACCTCAGCTGCTGCCCCGCATATGAAATGCCCACCATAGCCAGATTCGTTTAATAAAACAGAGGTTTCTTATGTTCAACTCCCTGTTGAGAAGCTTTTTCATGGCTCTCCAGGGTCTTCAGGACAAAACGCTAACTCCTTAGGCTGCCGTCTTTGGCCAGGACGAATTGGTCTCGGCCTGTCTTCCCATGTTAACAGCTCAACAAACCCATAGATCTGTTCAATAACCTGCAAGTGAATCCTAAAACATTCTGAACTTTCCCATTGCCTGACGTCTGCTGAAGGTGCTGCTCCGCTGCTGCTCCCAGCCACACTCTCCGCCTCCCCCATCTCCTCTCTGCTCATCTCTCCTGGTTGTCATCCAAAGCTCCTCCAGGTCTGGATCAGATCCCATCTGTTTAAGAGCAGCCTCTGCCTCTCTTCCCACCCCAGCACCCTCTCAGCCCTCCTCCCCCTCCCAAACTCCTCCAGCCTCTGGACTTTAGCAACCATGGACAGTAGGAATATGTGGCAATGTTGAGCCAGTTATTTTTTTTTAAAACTAAGCCCCAGAATTGATTCAAAAGTTGCCAGTTTTTCTACTAGTTTAGGTTTTCTGGTCCAAGGCCTGATCCACGATCCTCGATGCAGTGAGTTGTCATGCCTCCATCATGGTCTCCTCCAAGCTGTGACAGTTCCCCATTCTCTCCTAGTCTTTCATGATCTTGATAATTTTGAAGCGTACTTGTCGGTTACCTTGTGAGAGGGTCCCTCAATTCTGGTTTGTATCATGTTTTCATGATTATGTATTTTTGGGATGAAGGCCACAAGGTGTGTGCCCTTTTCAGTGCCTATAGGGCACATGGTGTGGACGTGCAATGCTGGAGATCAACCCTGAGCCCTTGATTAAAGGGGTGTGTCCCAGGTTTTCTGCTGAAATTTCCCTTTGTGATTACTAGGGAATTACAAAGTAATTTGAGATTATGTAAATATTTGAGACTATGTAAATATCCCCTTTCTTCTTTACTTTTGCCCACTAGCCTTACCTTCCCTCAATGGACCCTGCTGCAGTAATGATTAATGGGGCATTCTAATGGTGATTTTCTGTTTCCTTCTGTCTTTCTACCTGCACTAACTGGAATTCTTTATAGAAAAGCACTGTTTTCACCATTCATTGTTTTATTCAGTTATTATTTATATCAGTATGGATTTATTCATCTTAAAAATTATTTTGGTTCTAATCTAATCTCCTGTGTTATTTCAACACCTTTGCTCTTTTTTCCCTCTCCCCTCCCCTCCCCTCCCCTCCCCTCCCCTCCCCCCCCTCCTCTCCTCTCCTCTCATCTCCCTTCTATTTTCTTTTCTTTTGCACCTCCTTATCATAAGATCCTCAAGACTCATGTGGCTTTTTGTCTGCTATGACTCTGGAATCAATCAGTTCTCCAATGATCCTTTTTATTGGAAACCCAAGACATGGGGTGCTTGTGTGCTCAGTGCTATTGGGGTGTCACTGCTTCTAGGCCCTCCCAGTGGAAAAGAGAAAATATATTTATTTTAGGAACCACGAATACACACATGTACCTCCACTTTATCCATCCATCCACCTGTCTAACCTATCATCTGTCCATATTTTAAAACCCATGAGTTTATATCTGACTCCAATTCAGACACAAGGTGCATTCACCTTCCTGCTTTCTTTCTTTGTAACTTCTTTCTCCAACAGTGAGAAACTCTGCTCCTATTATCTGAAATTGATTCACTTATTTTTTCAATCCTGGTACCCAAATAAAGTACAGTTAGCCCTCCACATTCACCGTTCCACATCCATGGGTCCAGCCACTGTAGGTCGACAAATATGGTATTGGTGGGAAACAGGACCTGCAGGTACGGAGGGCGGACTTTTCGTATTCAGGGATTTCGTTGGTTTGCCATACTGTTCTTCTTGTCTCCTGCCTTATGGCACCCAGTTGAAACACTTCTTGCCAGAGTCACTTGGGCCAGCTCCATTCTTCTCTGCTCTCCCTGGTGTAGTTATGAGATTCATGTGTGATACCGAGAGATTCACTCGTCAATCTGCATGCCATCTTTACCACCACATCCCATCTGGCTGTTAAAATGCACATAACAGCAATATTCTTTGTAGTGTACAGTTCTGTGTGTTTGGACCAATGCATAGAGTCATGTATCCATGTCACAGTTCCATGCTAATATTTAAGGTAGGTTTCCCGTGGTCATTATACAGCTGGGTCTTGCTTTTTCATCCAATCTGACAATCTCCATCTTTTAACTGGTATGTTTATTGTGATTTTTTACATAGCTGGATTTAAATCCTCTATCCTCTATCTTACTACCTGTTTCTTTAAAAAAAATTTTTTAAGACAGAGTCTCATTCTGTCACCCAGGCTGGAGTGCACTGGCATGATCTCGGCTCACTACAACCTCCCCCACTCCCTGGGTTCAAGCAAGCCTCCCACCTCAGCCTCCCAAGTAGCTGGACCCACAGACTTGTGCCACCCCCACAACTGTTTGTATTTTTGGTAGAGATGGGGTTTCACCATGTTGCCCCGGCTGGTCTCGAACTCCTGAGCTCAAGCCATCTGCCTGCCTTAGCCTTCTGGGATTACAGGCATGAGCCACTGCACCTGGTCCAGCTGTTTTACATTTGTGCATCTGTTCTTTGTTGTTGTTTTTTTCTCTTTTTTTCCCTTCACTTCAGTTAACTAAATACTTTTTACAATTCTATTTTATCTCCCTATTGATTTTATCCTATATATACTTTTTAGTGATTGCTCAAATGCTGCTGCTTCCTTTTTTTTTTTTTTTTTAGATAGAGTTTTGCCCTGTTGCCCAGGCTGGAGTGCAATGGCATGATTTTGGCTCACTGCAACCTTCCACCTCCTAGTTCAAGCAATTCTGCCCCAGCCTCCTGAGTAGCTGGGATTACAGGCATGCACCACCACGCCCAGCTAATTTTTTTGATCTTTAGTAGAGACGGGGTTTCACCATGTTAGTCAGGCTGGTCTGGAACTCCTGACCTTGTGATCCACTCACCTACCTTGGCCTCGCAGAGTGCTGGGATTAGAGGTGTGAGCCACCATGCCCGGCCCTGCTCAAATACTTCTAATTTATGTGTCTAATTATAATTTACCTTAAAATATGCATAAGTTCCTTGTAGATTCAGGATGTTAGACCTTTGTCTGATAGGTAGCTTGCAAAAGTTTTCTCCCATTCTGAAGGTTGCCTATTTACTCTGATGTTAGTTTCTTCTGCTGTGCAGCTCTTTAGTTTGATTAGATTCCATTTGTCAATTTTGGCATTTGTTGCAATCGCTTTTGGTGTTTTAGTCATGATGTCTTTGCCCATGCCTATGTCCTGATTGAACAATGAGAACACATGGACACAGGGAGAGGAACATCACATACTGGGGCCTGTCAGGGGTTGGGGGGAAAGGGGAGGGAGAGCATTAGGACAAATACCTAATGCACGAGGGGCTTAAAACCTAGATGGCAGGTTGATAGGTGCAGCAAACCA